ATATATATATATATATATATATATATTATATATATATATATATATATATATATATATATATTTATAATAATATATATATATATATATATATATATATATATATATATATATATATATATATATATATATATATATATGCAAAACAACCACTCTGAAAGAATAGAGAAATTCCAAGCGCTTTCGTGACTACTCACATTATCAAGGAACTATGATAATGTGATCTTATTGCATATATATATATATATATATATATATATATATATATATATATATATATATATATATATATATATATATATATATATATATATATATATATATATATATATATATATTATCATATATATAATATAATATATATATATATATATATATATATATATATATATTATATATATATATATATATAATATATATATATATAATATAATATATATATATATATATATATATATATATATATATATATATATATATATATATATATATATATATATATATATATATATATATATATATACAGTGGTCCCTCGTTTTTCGTAATTAATCAGTTCCTGGAGGAGCTACTATAAACGAAATTTACAATTTGCGAATCAATTTTCCCCATAAGAAATAATGTAAATACAATTAATCCGTTTCTGACACTCAGAAGTATTAAAACAAAAATTTTTTGTACATGAAATATACATGTAGTACATAAACAATACAATGGGAAATGATGAATGAAACATTAACAGCATAACACTTACCTTTATTGGAGATTCTTCTTAGTGTATGGGAGACTGGAGGAGGAGAGAGATTGGATTGTTTACAGTTTGGAAGGGGAATCCCCTTCCAGCAACACCTCAGGTACCAATTGCTTCTCTGGGGTTGCTTCTCTTCTCTGTTTCTTAATGCCACTAGGACCAACTTGAGAGTCACTCTAGTCCTGTCTCGCAAAGTAACTGTGGAGAGAGCTCTGTTTCTGGCGTCTCTTTAACACTTCCCTAAAATGGTACAAGACTTTGTCACTGTACATATTTCTCACCTTCTTTACCACAGGCTTGGCACTAGGAGCTTTCTTTGGAGCCATGGTAGCTTATTTAGTACTTGCAAGCACTAAAATGAGCGGATTATGAAATATTTCGTAGGAGCACTTGAAGGGACCTTCACTCACTGGTAAACAATGCCAGACTGGCTGGGTAGGGAGGCCTCCCCGGCTCACACCGTGCGTAAGCGTCCTGGACAAACTACTATTCGCGAGTCAACCTATGAAAAGCGAGTCCATGTTTATACGAAAATACCCCTATGATTGGCGAAATTTACGATTGCCGAGAACTACGAAAAGCGAGGGACCACTGTATATATATATATATATATATATACAGTGGACCCCCGCATAACGATCACCTCCGAATGCAACCAATTATGTAAGTGTATTTATGTAAGTGCGTTTGTACGTGTATGTTCGGGGGTCTGAAATGGACTAATCTACTTCACAATATTCCTTATGGGAACAAATTCGGTCAGTACTGGCACCTGAACATACTTCTGGAGTGAAAAAATATCGTTAACCGGGGGTCCACTGTATATATATTTTATATATATATATATATATATATATATATATATATATATATATATATATATATATATATATATATATATATATATATCATACATACATATACACGCATAATATATACATACATACATACACACATACAGTGGTACCTCGAGCTTTGAACAGCTCACAGCTCCCAACTTGAACAATTGTGTAAGTGTATTTTCTTAAGTGCTTTGGTAAGTGTATTTTTGGGAGTCTGAAACGGACAACTCTAATTTACATTATTCCTTATGGGAACAAATTCATCTGGTATCGGCACTCAAACAGCCTTCTGGAATGAATTAAGTTCATAACTCGAGGTACCACTGTATATACATAACCTTTTCTTATTGAATTATGACAAAAATCATATGAGAATTTTTATTTTTGGTGGAAAACTTATATTAATTGGGCATTGATCCTCGGAAGGCATAACGTGGTGAAAGGTCATTAAGCCACCACAGAAACATCACACATTCTTATCTTAGTCTAACTTCAATTCTCTGCTAATTACACACCCCTTTCTCACTTTCACACATGGCCTAGACCTTCCCTGTACTGTATTACCTAACAAATACCACAAACAACCTTCCTCCCAACAATCTTTTACGGTTGTTAGGTAAGACACATATGCAACAGTTAGGTATCTTTATTTCGAAACGTTTTGCCTATACAGTAGGCTTCTTCAGTCGAGTACAGAAAAGTTGATAGAAGCAGAAGAGACTTGAAGACGATGTAATCAGTCCATCACCCTTAAAATCAGGGTGATGGACTGATTACATCGTCTTCAAGTCTCTTCTGCTTCTATCAACTTTTCTGTACTCGACTGAAAAAGCCTACTGTGTAGGCGAAATGTTTCGAAATAAAGATACCTAACTGTTGCATATGTGTCTTACCTAACAATCTGTCGGTATTTTATACCATTTTAATGTTCAATCTTTTACGGTTACGTAATAAAGCTATATTGCTTAATTTTTATTTTACCTTTTGTCAACTTTCAAATTATTTCTATTACAATTATGATACTGACAAAAATTAAAATCTCAAAATGGAAATTAGGGCACAAAATGTAATCATAAACAGATCTCATTGAATGGTCTTACATTACAAGTGATGTGCTGGCATCTTGCTATTATAATGGCATGACACTAACATTGCACAGTAAATTGCAGATAATGCACCTAAAATTCTGAAAATTCACACGGAGTTGACTTCATTAGTGCTATGATATTCATATGAAAATCTTAAAAGAAAATATATTTATACAGTATATATATCTCAAAAATTCAAAAAGTATATTCAGGCAAGTTGCGGATCAATTTGAAATATCCATCTTAGTGAGAAAGGAATTAATATTATTTCAGCAAAACAAACAACAAAAGCACACATCACTTACCTTGTACGGCTTCTGACAACAGTATACTTAATTAACTAATTGTCCCTACAATACTGTACTGTACAAGCAAGCACTGGACAAGGAGGCAAGGGTCTACTTGGTAAAGTTCAATGGATTAAGGCAATCATATGCAAGTCAAAATATGTTATCATTCTATGCATTGTGGTAATGGTGGAGGTTCCAGGAGGTGTTGGAGTGAAGGAGATGATTGAGGGAGTGACAAGGATAGGAAGGAGGACCATTCACAACACATGATGGAGGGTTGTGGAGGTTACTGGTTAACTTGGACAGCCATCAGCTACAGTGAGTGGGGATGCTTGGCTGCGTAGCATCACTCTGATAGTGATCAGGATGCTGATATCCTCTACCTGTCTACACTTCACACTGTCAGCTGCTTGGACATGCATTATGAGAGTGAGCCTATACGTGTGGGTTACCGTGCGGAGATCACAGAGGGTGCTGTTGTTGCAGCCAGCTGTGTGGGCTGGTGATGGTGTGGTGGTGGTCCTTCACTACACATCCAAAAACCAAAGGTAATACTGGTCAACACCAGTATCCTCACATAGTGTTGCAAGACTATATTTTTAGGAGGTTAGTTTTTCAGTGCAGTTTATAGCAATGTAGTCCTCCTATATAGTGATTTCAGTAGTAAATGTTAAAATAAAATGAGATAATGTGCAGTAAAGCATATGAACCACCTTTGTAGAACACTATAAAACATTCCAAGTGGTATTTTTGCATACCATATTGTCCATAACTGGAACAATCTCAAATTTCAAAATAGAATATCTTGATATTTTGAATTCTCTTAACACAGTAATATGCATTGGGAAGATATTGCCTCATGATCTTGCAACTTAATGGAATACTTTAACATTATTTGGATTTAAATTCAATTCTTAAAACATGATCAACAATAATGACAAGATGATACTTAATCAGTTTATCTGGATGTTGATCCACCCAGTGGTGACTGCAGCTTCACTGCACTGCACATTATACTTAAAGAAAACAAAATGTTGCAGTAAATGCCAACATTTATCAAGGAAGATATGCAATGCAACCATAATGGAATACAGATTACCCAAAACAACACTGGGGTCATATTACACTACCACAGTATATTGTGGAGATGATAGACAACACTGGTAATTTTATTAAGACTCAACAACAACAACTTTCATTGCAAATATGCCTTATAGGTTCCATGGATCACAAAGAAAAGCTTGAGAAACTTAAGAAATGTGTTGGTCTATTATTTAAAGTAGGACTGTGCAGCTGGAACCACTCACCGAGTACACTCACTCATGCCCAATGCTACATAACACGCATGCCGTCACCCACGCAGCCTACAGTGCATAACTTAAACAATAATACAAAAAAAAAAACTCTTTACAGCAAGGTGTTATATTCAGGATAAAAAAATAAATAAAAAAGCAAATAAATAAATAAAAAAAGTTATAACTAGTGTTTAAGGTGCAGCAGAAGTGTCTACTTTGATAACCAAAGTAAAGAAACAAAAACCAAGGAAACAATCCAATATAAATAAAAAATCTCCCTGTTATTGGTCTCCCGCGAAAATTTTGGTGCTCAATTTGTATGGCCAAGGTGATCAAATTAAGAAAACATTTCCTCCTACAGCAATAGTGATCACATCAAGGAAACATATCCATCCTACAGCACAGTTACACATCAATGCAGAAAATAGCATCCATATCACAAAATACTGTATTAAAACGCTGTGTTTAGATTGTGGTACTATGTGGCACTGAAAAAAGGCACACTCACGCAAAAATTAGTAGATAAAAATTATGCAGACCCTGGAGAAAAAAATGGGTATTTCCACACAAAGAATTGTGGTAAAAACTTAATACAGTATTTTGTAGCGATGACAGCTGTAGCTTTTGAGGGACGGAGATCACAAGAACTGCAGTGACAAAAGTTTGGACAGAAGAAAATAGCCAATTTTGCCGCTGAGTCACTTTCGAGTGCCAGGAAAAAGTAACTTAGATGGGTTACCTGAACAAGAGCATTATGCCCTCTGTAAATTTTCTAAAGTTGTTGTGGCGTGTTATAGACGTACTGGGATCCAATTCTATATTACCAAAGACCTGGGTGACGGAAGGAAACAAAAAACAAGAAACTTAGGATTACTCAAAATTCCAAACACGTTTCTATACTAGGGGCTTCTGAGGCACACCAAGACTTGGAGGGAATCAACATGAGGATTTTTGGGGTTATGATTATGAGAAATAGTAAGGTCATGAGAGGTTGAAAAAAAGGTGAAGAAAGGTAAAGTTTAGGGCAGGGGGAGGGGGGGGGGCCAAAGGTTGTCCTCTCACCAGGGCTCTCAGGGAAAACAAGTGACCAGTCGCTAGGGTCATATCAGGGTCAAAATTCAGGGACATGGGACAAAAAACTCTGCACAGGTCAATATACTCTAGGGAATAAGATGATCCCTCACCAAAAAGTGGGCAAGCACCACAGACACTATCTAGTCTAGGTTAGCTAGTCTAGGCTAGTTGGATCACATATCTAATGTTACGTTACCTTCTACAAGAAACTAAACTACACGGCATTGCCATCTAGAGGACTAGACATGTCACCAGACGGCTAAACATCACATGTCTGTTCAGGAATATAGCTAGACTTTACTGTTCCGGGATGCTAGGATCTCACTTTAAGGCTATATCGAGCCCATGGGATTCCTGCGAATTTGTTTATCATTCTCAGATGGTTAATACATTGGCACTGAACAGACATTCGTCTCAGTGTTCAGGCCTAGAGATAGGAATAATAAATACTGTCTCAGGTTGCTATTGGCCGAGCCTGGGTGGTTGGGGTTGCAAACTCACCGAAACAAGAGCAAGAGACCGGCGAAGAAAGACTGAAAGTTGTTATGTCGATTTAGGTCAGTGTCGGGGTCAAATTTCATGTTGCCAAAAACCTGGGTGTGAAGTATGGGAGAAAAAAAGAGACGGGAGAGTGCTGTAAAGTCGGGTGGGTGGAAATGGTTACGTGCATGGCCAGCCATTTGGGCAGCATTACACGACCAATATGGCGGGTAGGAGGCCACGTTTCTTGTTTTTTCCGTGGCCCCGAACCACAGCCATCGCTTGCATTTTGACCCACAGTAAGAGATCACAGACTTATTAAACATATTTTACAAGATTTACATGTGATATTGTAAACCAAATACAAAATTTGAAAAATTCTTGTTATAAAAAATTATGACCCATAATGTCAAGGATATGGGTATAAGAATATTCTTCATGACTATGATCTCCTATGCTGGGTCAAATTTTTAAACAAAATACGAGTCACATTTAACATTGAAACACAGTTGGGCTTCTGTTTAATGACAGTATTTGGAAAGAAAATTCACATAATCTAAAATTACTGGAATTATGGGGAACAGATTTTAAACATATGGAAAGACAGTAACACCCAGATGGGGTTTTGGATTCCTACACAATAAAAGACGCAAGAAACAGGATTTTGAAGTACTGTAAGTCCCTGGTGAGTAGACCACAAATATTAATCTTGGGGATGGTAACTTACTTTTGATATTGTTATGTTGCAAATATTTATAAAGAAAAACTTAATCCTAACATAATAATTATAAAATAGTATTATAAATATTATTATTATATTGTATTAATACTGTGAATGCAATAGATATACAAATACACGCACATATGCACACAAGTGAACACTTGGACGTATGTGTGGGTATACTCATAAGTACACACACACGCACACATACATATGTATTAAAGCTGCAAGCTTACATCTGTATTTCTCCCTGAGGATATGTTGAAATACTGATAAAGCTTTGAGCTTCAGCTTCACTTTCATGGGTTACTTTATTTCCTTTTATCAAAACAACTATGTATGTACTGGTGTATGAGAGTGCTCACTAACCTTAAATGGGGCTCAAACCCAATGTTCAATGGCATTCTACCACCCACACCACCACCATCTCTACCACTTGAGATGAACCATACAGTGCAAGTATGATTATTATTATAATCAAAAAGAAGTGCTAAATCACAAGGGCTAGTGCAAGTATGAACCATGGAGCAGGAGAAAGTTGAACCCATGGCGAGTCATGAATCTCTCAGGCCTGCGAGTTCTACAACTCATTTGCCATGGGTTCGAATCTCATCTGCTCCATTTTTTTTTTCTTGCAATCGTGCTATTACAGTTTCACGAATCATGCAAGTATGACTCATCTACTAGAAGTGGCACCCTTCTGAGTGGGAGAATATCACTAAACAGGTTTGAATTCTACTCAAGATTAGTGAATGCTTTTTAATATACGTATTGTTCAGAAGAGTCTGATTGAAAAAATGTGTTGTTATCTATTTGTAGTTACAGAAGCACATTTATGCTTGTGCTAAATTATTTTCAGCATATTTTTTTAAGTTTTCCATATTTTTTTTAAGTTTCCAGAAATTATAGCATATATTGCTTCCTCTTGGATGCCCATTCCAACAGTCTACCACTTTGTAAATATTTTCTAGTGTCATTCCTGCACCTTTTTTTCATAATCTGCAAATGTGAACTTTTGTTCACAATGTTGTTGGTGGTAAGAAATCTTCTGTATTTACTTTTTATATCCTTTTATATTCTGATAATTTGTTATTATACCTCATTTGCCTCCTGTCAACTAACATTAGGATTAGTCTGCCCGAAATGCACCACATGCTACTGGATTTTTTTTTGTGCTTAACAACATGTTACTACAGGTAAACTATGTTTTGTATACTGTAGAAAGAAATAATGTTGTTTGTTTGTTAATATAATATTAAATTGTTTCCCAGAGCATGGGAACAAAAATAATTGGTACTTTATCTTATTCATTATTGAATACACAAGAAAGGATAATTAATACCATTCTCTAGGTACTTTGGTCAATGTCTATGACTTGTGGCTATAAGGAATGAATTTTAATTTGCTTTTCCTAAGGGAGTAAATATGCAGTAAAGTATATGTAAGGAGACTCCATATTTGATAGCACAGAAATAAAGCAAATATTTTGGTGTAGCTAGAGATTCTCTTCAGGTGATACTACACTATTTGGAAGATAACATTGTATATGTTAACATGCCAGTTACACAAAAATAATTGATGTTAGGTAAAAAGACACAAGTGCAACTAATGTCACATTAGCTGCACTTGTGTCCTTTTACCTAACATATTGTCAGTAATTCTACCAACATTACTACAAAAATAATTTAGTTTCATCCAAAAAGGGTCTCTAGCTACAATTTTTTTTTTCTTTACTGTTATGGGTTTTATACATATACATGTATGTGTTTTCGGGACCTGACGAGCTGTTGGAGTGTGAGCAGGGTAATATTTAGTGAAGGGATTCAGGGAAACCGGTTATTTTTATATAGCCGGATTTGAGTACTGAAAATGGGAAGTACAATGCCTGCACTCTAAAGGAGGGGTTTAGGATATTGGCAGTTTGGAGGGGTATGTTATATATCTTTATAATGTTTCTAAACTGTTGTATCTGGGCGCCTCTGCAAAGACAGTGATTATGTGTGAGTGAGGTGAAAGTGTTGAATAATGATGAAAGTATTTTCATTTTGGGGATTTTCTTTCTTTTGGGTCACCCTGCCTCAGTGGGAGACGGCTGACTTGTTGAAAAAAAAAAATAATGTGTATGTGTAGGTATTTAAACAACTGTTGGAAGACAGATGGGCTGCTGTGAGTATAGGCAATGGGGTAGAAGATGTATGGGGTAAGTTTAAGAATATAGTGGTAGAGTGTTCAGCACAAGTTTTCAGCACAATAGTGAGAGAGAAAAAGTTAGCATATCAGAGGTTTTCACAAAGTAGAAGTGATGCAAGGAGGGAGGAGTATATGGAGAGGAAAAGAGATGTTAAGAGATTGGTGAAGCAATGTAAAAAGAGAGCAAATGAGAGAGTGGATATGATGTTATCAACAAATTTTGTTGAAAATAAGAAAAAGTTTTGGAGTGAGATTATTAAGTTGAGAAAGCCTAGGGAACAAATGGATTTGTTAGTTAAAAGCAGGAGAGGAGAGTTATTATACGGAGAGTTAGAGGTATCGGGAAGGTGTAGGGAATATTTTGAGGAATTGTTAAATGTTGATGAAGATAGGGAAGCTGTGATTTCGTGTACAGGGCAACGAGAAATAATATCTTATAGAAGTGAGGAAGAACCAGTTGTGTGGAGGAAGTGCATGGGGCAGTGGGTAGAATGAAAAGAGGTAAAGTAGCTGGGATTGATGGGATAAAGATAGAAATGTTAACAGCAGGTGGGGATATAGTTTAGGAGTGGTTTCATTTAATAAATGTATGGAAGAGGGTAAGGTAAGGTTCCTAGGGATTGGCAGAGAGCATGCATAGTTCCTTTGCCTTTATAGAACCCACAGCAAGTGAGTCATAAAACTCCAGGCCTGGAGTTTTACAACTCTCTTGCTGTGGGTTCTAACCCCATCTGTACCATGGCTTGTTTGTAATCATGTTATTATGATTTCATGAGTTGGGGTCAAAGAGGTTTTGAGTGCTTGGAGCTTGAGTATTAAGCATGCCTTCATGTGTTAGAGTGAGGTGAATGAAGACAAGTGGTTTATATATCTTGAAGGGCTGCTGGGGTATGAGCAAGTTAATGTTTATGAAGATTCAGGGAAAACTGGTTAGCCAGAGTTGAGACCTGGAGGTGAGAGCACTCTGAAGAGGGGTAGGGATGTTGCAGTTCAAAGGGTCATTTGAATGACAAAGTCTACATACTTCTGACAAGATGGGTATCGAATGATTGATGGTCAATGTGTTTCCTTTTTTTTTGGGGGGGGGGGGGGGCGGGGTCACCCTACCTTGGTAGAAGGCAACCATTTTGCTAAAAATAATAATACAAAAAAAAGTTTTCATGGGAATGATACTCAAATACAGTGGTGAAACTGCTGAACCCAAGATGACTTTTAAATGGAAAACTAGTGACCAATGTAGGTTGTGGAGAGCCTTGGCACTCAAAAATATCATGTAAGACTACATATCCAAAGTTTTTCTTAACTGTTGTCACATCTTTGCTTTCTTTTGATTTCTAGTAATCAAAGTAATATTCTTGGGTGCCTG